TTAGGAAAAAACCTTTCAGAAAGAAAAAACAAGTACAGCAAATCATAGGATCTGCCTTTTTCCAGTATACGAAGGGTCATACTCAAAACTGTGTTCTAAAAACAATTAGAAATTGAATAAAAATGTTCCGGACATGTATTTTAATTAAAAGAGAACATTTTAGTATAAATCATTAAGACAAAATCATAGAAAAGCGTTTTTTCTTTCTTTCCGAGCCCTGATGACATTATTTATTGAACGCCCCTAGTAATATGCAACTTTTCCCATAGTCCTTACTTTATTAGAGGGAAAATGTGATATATTGAAGAATTTTATCCATAGCACATGAATTGAACATCGATTTCAACCAAACATTTTAAAGAAAGGTTTAAGGATAAATATCAATATATCTGCAAGGTTGATTAAAATATAGTCGGATGTTTTTGCTTACGAAATCAAACAAAACTTAAAAACAAAATCAAGTTTCATCAGGACATTTAGATATATCAACGACGTATTTCAGCAATTGTTATTTACATTCTTATATCAATACGATACCGTGATTTCATCAATTTCCGTTGTCATCGATTTTCGTGGATTTTGTAAAACAGACCTTTTCGAGGATACGTAATTTCGTGGACGAAAGCATTGTCTATACAAATGAATAACACATTTCTCAATTCAATGAACATTTAATTTCGTGGATCTGCTCAACAACGAATTTCTCGAAAATTGGTGCTCAAAGAATATTGATGAAACCACCGTATATCTCTTGGAGCTTGAAATAAAACAGACACAGAGTCTGACAAATCTGTTTCATATTTGGATATTCTTCTTGAAAAGGACGTTAATTGTAATTTTACAATTAAGCTCTTTTCAATCATCAACTTCCCTTACTTATGCAGAAGTAATCATTTATAACCTGCATATGGAGTTCCTCAGCTGATTCGATACGCAAGAACATGCTATGTATGTACAATTTCTAAAGGGAAGTTAATTATTGAGAAAGAATTTGATGAATGATACATATGAAGATTATTCAATATTAAAAGTCCATAAAACAATGCAAAATAGGAGCAAAGCAAACACGGCTCTCGAAAACATCAGAGGTGGGATCAGGTGCCATGGAGGAGTGAGCCAAAATGAATCAAGAATATCAGCAGTTTCGTTTCAGGGCTTTGTTTTCATAGGATACTTTTTTTTACTTTACTGGAAAATTTGTAAGTCTTGAGTACATCACAAATCTACATCTAAATGTTAAAACTAGTTATGTAGAACATACAGATTTTAAATAACTGTTACAAAGATATTGAAAAGTGTTGATATTGAGAAAAGGGAAGCTATCATAATGGAACTTTCATCCAAAATTAATTTTACATTTTTATAAAAGCAAGCAATTAAGGCACTTGAGAAATGGAGTGATAATGGAATATTTTTGGCAACTCAGAATTGAACAAAATACTTGAACCTCCTTTTAAAGTTTTTAAAAAATTGTGTCACATTGAAATAAATTTCAATTAACGATCAATTTTGATAGAAAGGATGAAACAAATGGAGATATTTCGTATATTTGGCAATTTCAAAGATTAAAACATGTTTAGATTACACCATATAAAGATACTGTTAAACAATAAAATTATGCCTAAACTAAGCATCTCAATGCTAGAACAAATGTTGTAGATGAAATAGTTGAAAAAGCTATACTTTTGAGAAACTGTTAATTTTTGGAATACGAAAAGTACAGGAAAATGTATTCGTGATATACTTTAATGTATTTATTTTTCCCAATTTATACAAATGTACAAGTAAATTTAAAAAAAAAACCTTCGAATCTAAGCCATAAGCTGCCAAGTGTAGTGAAAGTGTTACTTTGTATTAACACTTAGTCTATGTTTTGAGAAATCTATAAGCTATAGAGGTATAGAACATGTTCTTTCAGGAATGCAGACTAAGCGTTAATACAAAGTAACACATGAAAGGGGGTCTAAAAATAAACAAAATACTGAAATGTTAAGCTATAGTCTTCTTGTTCTAGTTTTGTTTACGTAATTAGCATAGAAAAATGTAAAACCCATCGATTCATGTCCAAAAATTTTGTGTTTGGTGATATTTCCCCTGAATAATAAAATTAAACATATGGAGATAACGAACAGTATTCACGATCAAAAGTCCATAAAACGATTAAAAAAAACAGGAACAGAGCAAACACGGACCTGGATAAATGATTTTAAAAAAGGAAAGTTGAAGGCTCGAAAGAACTGATACATGGAACGGTCATTAACCGGATGTCCTCAAAAAGACCTTTGATATCACCTTTCTTGCGTTAAGTCGGGTGTGTTTAGGTCTAAAAGAAGTCTTCATGTTTAAAAAAAAATGTTTTCAATAACAACAGGTAGAGATTAATAAGTATTCAGATAATTGGTTTTATTTATAACATATATATAAGGTCTCTACGTATCCATAAAAAGATAAATAGTGAAAATGTTTCATGATTTGGATAGACATTAATGTTATTCAAGCGTTAAATATGATGGTATATTATTACGCAGCACAGTTAAGGTATGTCACTCGTGAAATTTGTTAAATCAAGGATTTTTTGAGAAGTATATTTTGGATAAGTACTCATATAGTGTGACTCAAAATTGCAGTAAAAATAGGGGGTCAGTATGCATCTTACTGATCTACGGTACAATTAAGTTGACCTTTTTGCACTAAAACTTTAACTCTTTGGTAAATTACTTTAAGCTTTATCATATTTCATCAGATGTTACCATGGCAATGAATATAATTTTATTTTACGTAAAATTGTTTGATTATATTTATCATTGAACGAATCTTCCAAATTAATGCGCGTAAATAATTGTGTGACCTTTTTGCACTAAGAATTAACAGATTTTGAGTATTAAAAACTAAATAGGCAATAAAATCTTTTCTTAAGGTCAAGATCTAGTAAATGAAAGCTGCCTACAGATTTATCAAATTTGAGAAATAAATTCCTTTATTGATGCTTTACAAGTTAAGGTTGTTCAAACAAGGTGTTTCTGGGCATAATTTGTAGGTAAACAAGATGAAAAACTGTATTTTAAACTGTCATTTTCAATGCAAAATTAAGAAAACCAGTCATTAATATAGGATTTTTTAATATATTCGACAAAGGAAATGTATCCAGATTGTCTACAGTCTCTCAGAAAACGGTAATTTGTTTGTTCATGGCCTATTCTTTAAAATAATATCAATTTTAATATAGGTATCCGGTTTACTTTTCATATGAATTCAAATTGAATGTCATGAAAATACCCTATTTTCTACATAATTCTGCTAAAGCCGTAAAGTACGGGAAAAAGAAAGTTGAATTCGATTATGTCGTCATAATTGATCTAGTACCAAAAGATTAATCTTATGTCATTTACTAGATCTTGACCTTAAATCAAGCTTTTAAAGACGTAAGTGCTAATCAGTCACAAGTATCGAGTACTTTAAAATAATGAAAGAAAAAATTGGTGTCAGTGATGTTAATTTTGAAATATTGGTCGAAATATGTAATTTTCAGGAGAAAAATTGTATAAATTTTATCTAGGCTTATTTGACATATCTTCATTTTTTGACAAGGTTTATTAAAGGAAGGTGGAAAATTTGTTCTAAAAATATAAACTGAGACCTACATTAAATATTCCTAGCAATATCATAACGGAAAATAGTCTCCAATTAAAAGTATGTGAGGCTAAAGTTCCAAGATATTAAATCTAATAAATGTGTAGATTTGCAGAATTATCTGCTAAATACCCTTCCACCACAAGAAATAGTCCCTCATAAATCTTGCCTCTTTGTAGCTTTTTTGGGCAGTTTGTTTGTTAAGTGTTAAAATATTAACATTGTTGAATTTAATCATGTTATGAAAATTGAATTTTAATAAATGGTTTTGAAGCAAGAGGATCTGCGTGAACTTTTCTAAAAAGCTGACGAGTGACATACCTTAAGGTTACAGTAAGGAGGCGGGGCCTAATTTATACGGGAAATGTTTACTATGACGTCACACAAAATATAAGGTCTTCAAAATACCACAAAATGAAATTATTTGCTATTTCAAACTACTGAATAGTTGTAAACTACAAAAACACTTACAATTACATGCAGTTTGTCTTTTGTTAAATCCCACACAACAATATATATAATCGATGCATCGATCGCAATGCACTTGTCAATGTGACGTCATCTCGCAAAAATGACGCAGATTGTACACAGAGAGAGGCTGATCAAGTCACATTTTGTACTATGAAAAATGTCTTTTGTTCTCAAATAAAATATTATTTGCAGTTATATAAAACTGGATGCGATGTCTATTTTACAATTTTATTTATATACTGTCCGTATATTCTCCAGATAAGTGATACCGTCGTGTGTTTGTATGCAGATTCATTGAAAAAGTAATGGAATGGAAGGGCCCTAATAAATCGATTTATTGCAAGGGCATACCCTCATTGTATCTTACCAAGTTTTTACAATTTTTTGAAATTTTAAAATAAACCAAGAAGCATTAAGATATTTGAAAAGTGCTGCGAACCTCATGAAATCTTGCAAATAAATTAATTATCGCTATATTTAATGAAGTTGACCATAAAAATATTCAACCTGTCGTCCAACAAATTAAATTTTAGCAATTAAATAAGGGAATCTATATAGATTCGCAGCACGTTTCAAAAACTATATATAATGTTGAAAAGAATTATAAATTAAACTAAAATTTTTGATTTGGTTATGCCCTTGCAATATTGGAATTTATAGATGACCTCTAAACTGCAAGTATACATGCTAAAATCATGTGACTCCGACATCACATGACAAGTCTAAATTTAAAAAAAATCAAAATGTCATCAACATGTAGGTTTGAACCAGATTACATTTCCTTTTAATCAGTGAAGCCCTAAAAAGAATCATCCATCCTTATAAAGTATGTATTTTTTATCTTAAAAAATCGCCGATATTTTTATTTGTAACCTTAACTGTGCTGCGTAAAGTACAACATGGACTACAAAGACATGGAAAGCTATTATCAAATTTGTATTGCAGACCTTATTCCAGAAGTTAGAAGTTAGAACTTTGGATAGAATCAGAAAATGTAAGTTAAAACACTTTTTACTATTGTTTAATCATTTCTTTGAACTTTCAAACAATGTATTTACAGCTGAAATTTTAAAGACAAAACAAGTGCCATAAGTTTTTTCTTCAAACTTTAGTGTTTGAAAGTAGAAATTGCATTTAAACTATCTGCAGCTACAAAATGGAGCTGTATAAGGTATTTTATGTTTTCGTTTGAAAAGAAAGTGAACGTAACAAAAAGAATGGTTATTTATCAGTCTGTCCTCTTTGTAAGGTCATGTTTGACCACAGGGTGAAAGCATTCTTACTTTATTTCTGAAAGCTCAGTACAGTTCAGTATTTCATCACGATTCAACTTTGTATCACTCATTATTCATAGAAACCGAAAAGCAGTCTGGGAAAACTGACAGTATATATATGTTGCCTTTCTTATTCTTTCTAAAGATACAATTTCTTAATCTGTTTAAAAGAAATACTTTATTCGTTTTCCTCAGAGAAAGAGAGAAGATCAAAGATGTTTCATGCAAGTAAAAGATTGCAGGCAATTCGCAAGCAACTGAAACAAATCAATGAACAGTATAAAAATACTGAAGCTGAATTTGAACAAGTAACAGTGACAGAATCAGAGGCAAACATGGACAAGAGGAATACAAATGCCTATGAGGTAATGCAATAGAATATTATTCTCCACTTCCCGTACTTATGCAGCAATATACCTTTATCATCTGCATACGGAGGTTATATATCTCAGTTGATTCGATACGCAAGAGCATGTTCTACGTAAAGTCATCATTTCGTAAGTTCTATGGTCGATACAATGATCTTGTCAGCAAAAACGATTTATCTTTGAGCCAAATGCTGATTGACGTTTTTCATACAAATTGTTAGTCTATTATTTGTACTCTGAATTGACGACGAATTTTTCCAGTATTTCCTGATCATGACAAGGAGCACGGTGTGTGTAATAGGTCGGCAGGGGATGCTCACTCCTCCATCTGATCCCACATCTGATGTTTTTGAGGTCCGTGTTTCCTCTGCTCCTATTTTGTACTGTATGTTATCTCCATATCCTACATCTAATATGTTTTACGGTGTGACCTTTGGGGCGAGCGCAGTTGTACCATCAAAAACACTTGAAAAATTGATCAACCACTTCAAACATCGAGCCTCACGAGACATCTCGACTAGCTGTGACGTTACACGACGTCAAGGAGCTCGTCGGAGCTTACGGAGACAGCCGAGCGTCTGGTTGAAACTATAGACTTAGTGCAGTTTTGGTGGAAAAATATTGCAGAGTTATTTTTTATTTCTTTGAAAGATTTCTACAAACTGAAAGCCTTTTATGCTTTACATCATTATGTTTTTTATTTATTCGCGCAAAGGACATTGGGTAGTAAAGGAATTCTGGGAATGTTTTACAGAGAAATTTGCATGACGTATGTAAAGATTTCATTTCGAATTTCCTCTGTTCTTACACGTTAGTCTACTGAGCTCGCTGCGCTCACTATGAAAATAGATATGCTAGACTCCAAAGTTCGATGGTCTCATCAAAGTCCGATGGTCTGCGCCTAGTCTTGATGTCTCGATGTCTTTACGGACGCCAACGTCCAATGGTTACGCCAAATTACGATGGCTTCTTTCTAGCGGGACACGATGCGCTACGGTGTGATGGTCTGACACGCCAAGGTCAGATGGTTTGGAGAAACAATTAACGTTTATGACGTCACAATAATCCGACGTCAATCCTCGACGCCGTTTTCCTACATTCAAGAGCTCTTATTTCCCAAGTTGTCCTCGGATACAGTTTGACTGATTTTGAACCAACTAGATAATGATTAATCTCCGTACATCATTTGACTGATTAGGTGTAATCCTGGCTTACTAGCAGTATAAAACTGATAATGGTATAGTTTTGAACCAACCCGAGAAGTTAAGGGTTAGTCCTCACATAATATTATATAAGAGGATTATTTTCGTAATTTTCATTGGCTGAAAGGACGTCACGTGATATTCCTCCTTTTTGTGATATCGACGCGAAAGCGCGTCCGCGGAAAATGATATCGCACGACACGCCGTTCGGTTGCACTGAAGTTACGTAGAACGTGGCGTCATAATATAAGAAGCGTGTTTTTAACCATTGTGACGTTATGACAGCCAAAGTCTGTTTAGTTAGATCTGTGTCAGTGCATTCACTTTGAGTGATTATATAATATAACTATTATGGACTTCAGTGAACTGTCAATATGTGGTTATAAGGACTCAAGGCAATTGATATTGACCGAAGACACAGAAAGTGATAGCGACCGAGCCTGCGATGTCGCTATCATTTTCTGTGTCTGAAGTCCATAATTGTAAACTGTTAATTCTACCACGATTGGCGGACATTATTCTCCAATAAATCACGAACGTCATCAAAAAATTATCAGATCAGAAACACGTATCAAATCTGAACAATTCAAATGCATGTTTGGCTGTAGAATGAAATACTTGTTTAGACCGCATCGATGTGTCGTCTTTTGCAGTATAAACACTGTAAATTGCATCAACTTGCTGACGAATGTCGGTTTTTATAGCTAAGCGGGGATATTCCACGGACCTCCCTACACATTAAACAATGTTATTTTAGCAGTAAAACAGGAACATGATTTTGTTATTGTATATTCATTTTAACTGATCAATACATATTACATGAATGTCGGTTTTTATAGCTAAGCGGGGATATTCCACGGACCTCCCTACACATTAAATAACGTGGTTTATAGCAGTAAAACAGGAACATGATTTTGTTATTGTATATTCATTTAACTGATCAATACATATTACGAACAAATTTGTAATTTAAAAAGGCTATTTTTAATGTAACGAAAGCTCAAATCGTCTGCATTCTATACACAGGTAAGCAAACAAATTTTACCTCTGGTGTTAAATGAAACAGCGTAATCGAGACATGGTGACCTAATTCGTTTCTCTGTAGAGGAAACGATTATCCGTAGTTTAGCGATTGTAGTTATACATGGTAGAATAGAAATAAAGTCCTTGTTGTCGTGAATGATGCAGAATAACCTCCGATGTTGTTTGAAATATAAAAGCCTCGGCTTTTATCTTTCAAACAACATTTCTCGACCTCTGAGGTTATTCTGCAACATTCACGAAAACGCGGACTTTATTTCTGAAACTGAGTCGGGTTATTCTTGCAATCATCTAAGATTATCTAGATTATAGCTTCTCCACACGTTTCGACTTATTTGGGAACTTAGTTTCTTGTAGGAATAATGAATCTTCACTATATATTCTACAGAACCCCTCCCTAAACACATTATCTGCTATATAGTAAAAGATTTTTTTTTTTATAAAAACTGCATTGTTCATAGGAACCCCCTTCCGCAGAGCCCAAATGCTGAGACCATAATGTTAAATATTTTGGAGGAGCCACTTTTGATTATCATAACTGTTAACTTGAACCGTTTGTTTAATAAACAGGAACAGAGAAAAGGAGACAAGTAACTAATGCATTTTCACTATATTATAAATAGTTTTTCTTCGGCCAAACTCCCGAGCTTAGAGCTATGAAATTAACCTTTTTGAAAGAAGCACTGCACTGATATGATTATTATTACCATGTACTATGTTCATCTGCCAAACACCTAGGAGCGAGGGAGAGGATATTCCTAGTATTGGCGCCCGCCGTGATCATAAAAAATCTCTAGCCTAAGTCAAAATATTTATGTTTTACTAAAATGTTGTAAAAAGCAAGCATACCAAAATTCAAAGCTTATATAGGGTTGCTTTACAAAAGAGTTGCTATCTGAAAATTTTGAGATTAATTTGGTAATAAATATTTTACAGGTGGTTATAAGTTTGACTTAAGTTTACGTCTGTTTCGTGATCCTGGGGCCAAGAGATTCTCATTTCTTATATGAAATAGAAAAGGAAAAGTGGTCAAAGTCTACTACGGCGTGTAAACAAAATAGTTCTACCTCGTTTACAAACACGTGTTTCACCTTGTCATAATGTCATCAAAGGGGCACACGGTGTTTCTTTAAGTTCATGGGTGTTTGTTTGTAACCAAAAAAATTCAACTTCGGCATTATATACGTGATCAATTTTTGATTAAATTTTGTGCAATATTAATCAGAGTTTTTTTTTTTTTATAAATAGCAATTAAATTAAAAAAAATATTTCTACCTAGAAAATCCAGGAGTTTACTATTTCTTACATGTAAGATAAAAGGGGATTCAGTCAAAATCTACTAATTTGTGTAAACAAAATTGTTGAACATCTACTGAGATTACTTTGTTAAACTTTCCTACATGTACCTGGTTTACATACTAGTGTTTCACCTTACACATTCCAATTGACGGGCATACATGATATCCCTTGATTCGAGATACTAAAACGAGAACAACATGTTTGAGGTCAAGAGATTTTAAACGGTCAAAGACCCCAGGAAAAAGTCGAAGAATCCGAAGGACCTAGACAAATATTAGCTTATCTATAGGTCATTTGTCTTACATTTATAGTTAAAACATGCGTTTTATTTTGTTTGTAAAATCTTAGTTCAAAATATTTTTGACCAAGTGATTTGCAGTTTATAATCGCCATAAGATTTGTTTCCAAACACAGAGGTCTTCAAAGACATTGTCCCTTATTATCCGTAAACTTCTGGTTTCGCGTCCTCAGAACACATTTACCAAAGCCAGCTAAAATATGTAAACCAATTGACCTCCACTTTAAATGCACATGTCTTTGCACACTACTTTATCCTAGCTTGGTTGAAATACAAATTGATGAAAATTACTTTATGCACAACCAGTTTTCATTCTTAATCCCAAAATTATCATAAACCAGATGTTATCTCTTTTTAATAATGTCAGCAAATAAATATCATTATGATTATGCTAAAATAAATCAATATAAAGGAATAAAAAGTGATTCACCTTAATTAATATCATCTGAACTTAAAACACAATATAAACAGTTTTAATCCGGAAATCCATATCTAACTCTATTCATATCTATATGTGAAAATGCTAAATTATAACTAGTCCGTTTGATATCACATATGAAAGTATATAAATAATAAATAAATGTAGAAGGGGGATATGGAGATAACGAACAGTAACAAATCAGATAAACCTGATTTATCTGAAGATTAAAAAAATCAGAGAGAACTTTGTAATATCAAATTAGGATAGATATGTGACGTTGAAATTTGAAAGGGATTTTTTTCTCTCAATGAATTCTAATGATATATTTGTTTGGTATATTTTGGCAATCTTCCTTTAATAAATAATGAAAAAGAATTTTTTGAAAAGAAATCAAATTTGCAGCATTTTCATTCGGTTTATCCGAAAGTAGATCTATATATACATGTATATCTTTCTGTTAACTTATGCTTGGTTGATATTGTTTTCTGTGAAGTCGCCAAATTTATGGACCAATCTTTTGAAAGGCTGTATTTGAAAAAAATATGGCATCGAACTTCTAAACACAAATTTTGTATTGTTGCAATTGCAGATAAGTAGAGCTAGAATTTCCAACAGTGGCTATTCTACTGCGATTACCATAAACGACCTAAATGAACAAGTATCTAGCAGCAAAAATAACAATGTGGGTGCGGATCTAGGATCTCTAATAGAATGTACTTCCAGTGAAGTGGCGGGACTCCCTCTGTCTGAGGACCTTCGGTGCGCCATATTGAATATGGAGGATCTAGACGATGTATGTTGTTCATCTACAGTTATCCTTTTAAAGCAAAAATCAATGTTTTAAGCACCATTTGCAATTTAAGTTTTAATAAGATTTTAAGAAAGTTTCAATGTTGCATAATTATCTGTATATTTAATTTATCTTATGTCTTGTTGAATCTTAATGATCTCCTTTAAATGCACACGTGTTTCTGTGTAAAATAACACTGTTTTCAATTTGTCACTGCTCGGCCTGGTTTTTTTAGTTATATTATTTAAGAACACAATGTTTGCAGGTGGAGAATGTCCTCGGTGATGTGATGAATTCTGTATTAGATGATACTTCTTTTGACAAAGATTTGGAATCTATTGAGCAGACGGGTAGTTTTTCGGTAAGTAACACAAGAAACACTTAATAATTGGTAAGAGTTTCGTGATAAAAACTCTTGAAAACCCTTGGTTTATTTCCCATAACATCCATGGCATTCTATAGAAAATTCCGTGGCCTGACAAGGTTATAATATTAATGTATCTACTGTTTTCACAATTTTAATTTTATCATTTCAATAATGCTTCACTGCCTCGGTCAGAATAGGTCATCCCATGACATATATTCTGGGTCTTTCCTTTATTGTGTTACATGTATTAAGGTCATGATCTAGTAAATAAAAGATGCCCACTGATTTATCAAATTTAAGAAATAAAATCCTCTAATGATGCTTTATAACTTAAGCTGGTCAAATAAGGTGTTTTGGGGCATAATTTGTAGATAAACAAGATGAAAAATCATATTTTAAACTGTCAAATTAAGAAAACCAGTCATGAATATGGGAGGGTTTTTTTCATATTCGACAAAGGAAATGTATCTAGATTGCCTACAGTCTATCAGGAAACGGTATATTGTTTGTTAAAGGCCTATTCTTTAAAATAATATCAAATTTAATATAGGTATCTTCTTTATTTTCTTGACCTTAAGGAAAATCATTCCTCCAAATGTTTCATTTCATTATACCACAAAAGTGAAACATTTTTTAAGTCTTCATATCTGAAATTGAAATACTTGGGCCAGGATTTTCTAACTTATATTACTTTATAAGTAGAAAAAGTTATAGATTTATTTTTTTTCTCCGTATGACCATGCCTTGTTCATGACCTTACATTGGGTAAGTTTAATGTCTCATGGAGATTGATTTTTGTTCATCATCTTTACATTTTATTTAGACTAGCTCCTCTGCTGAGCATTGCCATGCCCAAAACACAAAAGGTAAAAATCCTTCACCAGAAAACAGTACCCGGAAGTCGGAGACTATTGCGGAGGAAGGAAACTGGCGAGAGGACCGGAAAAAGAAGGACAAACATAATATAAGTAGGTATAAAATATAGCTAATACGCAGGTTTTTTGTTTGCATTTGAAATAAGGGCATTTGAAAGTTCTAAGAATCGTTTGATAATATGTTGACGGTGTGGAAGACCGTATAGGTTATTGGATTACCTTCCTAATTCACTTTTATACTAGATCCGCCTCTACAAAGCGCACAAGACATATATAAGTTCTAAAATGTGACGACGAATACCATTATATGCTAACTGCACATTCGTTTTAAATATTTGGCCAAACCATTCTCAGAATAGAACGACTTTACTTTACCGGTCCCCAGAAAAACGCGCTAAAATGTGTCGCCGAAAGCGGCTTCAGTGTATTTGAGATCGCGTGAGCGATCAAAAAAATTTGAATACGAAGTTTTTGGCCTTTTTGACCCCAAAATCGAATTCTACGGTTAAAAGTTTAGTTTAAACGAAGTTTAAATTCGTTCTCTGAAAAGATAAATCAATATTGTTTATTCGTGAAAAAAAAATGATTATTCGTGGAAAAGAATCGACAAAGAATAATTCTGAACGAAGCGCATGCGGCGCATGCTTAGTGTCATTTCTTTCGGACTTAGCCATTCGTCCATGTAAACAAACCAACGAAATGCCGTTGAAGCTTAATTATGATCTTGCAAAAATTACAAAAGCAACTGAATTTCCTACCTTATCTTAAAGACCGATTCACCAACCCAAATTTCTCGAATGGTATGCAAGGACTAATGCGTTTAGACGACATCTCCCGGGCAGATGCTACACTAACCCTAATCTGTCGAATAATGTGCGAGGACTAACCCTAATCTCTCAGATGTGTGCAAGACTAACCCTAATCAGTCAAATAGTGCGCAAGTTTAACCCTTATCAGTTGAGTGACGTAAATGTTACGTCATAGTCCAATGAGAGCGATGATCTTCCGGATATGGGGACCTGTAACGTAAAATCTACCCCTCAGAACTTTTCAAATGCCCCGGCCTTAATTTATGAAAAAATTTAATTTCTATGTAGTTATAAAATCGATGAAATCTATCAAACAGATTTTACATATTCAAGACAAATATTTCAAACATTAAATGAATTTTTAATGGAATTCATTTCAAACCAGAATATACACCTTTAGTATCATGTCTCTTAACAGTATTCTAACACCATTGTAGTTGAACGACGGCGGCGACACAACATAAACGATAGAATTAAAGAACTGGCATCTCTCCTTCCAGACAGCGTGCCTCTGTAAGTTTTTTTTATGACGAGTGTGTGTCAATACAAGATATTACATGTACATTATCTACACAGTTATTCCCCACGATAAATTCAGGTATGTCACTCGTCACCGTTTTAGAAAAGTTCGCACAGAACCTCTTAGATTTAAAACTATTTAGTCTAATTCAATTTTTATAACATATTTAAATTAAACAACGTAAATTGATAAAACTGCTCAAAAATCCACAAAGAAGCAAGTTTCACGAGTGACATACCTTAAAGTCCAGGCTTTTAATGACAGCTGCTTTTTGAATAAAAATGGAACTCGTAAATTTACGTCCCTTGTCAATGTTCATTTGCAAAATTATTTGGTTAAAAAACACTCTGATTGTACACACAAGTACTCTGAAGTTGACATCAAAAAGATGCTTGAGTTTCTGATTGACCAGGTCTTCCAACAATCTATTGGAATTCCCAAGGGTAACAATTACACCGTGTTATTAGCAGACCTATTTTTGTATTCATATAAAAAGAATTTGTGGAAAATTTTATGCCTGAAAAGAAGAAAACATTTGCTGTGGCCTTCAGTTCGACATTTAAATATATCGACGACGAATTGATAATTAACAATGGTAATTTTCATTCTATCTTGGTGAGCTAGAGAAAAAAGATACAATAGAGTCTGACACATCTGTTTCATATTTGGATATTTTACTTGAAAAAGACGTTGATGGTAATCTAACAACCAAGCTCTTTGAAAAATGTAATTTCTTTAACTTTTCAATCGTCAACTTTCCTTACTTTTGCAGCAATATACATACCTTCAACACATTTATACGGAGCTTATATACATGTATCTCAGTTGATACGCAAGAGCCTGCTCTACGTATGAACAATTTCTAAATCGAGTTACATTATTGATAAAGAAGTTGATGAAACAAGAATATTAGAAGTCTTGTGTCTCTTTGGAGTGTATGCGTTTCAATACTTTTCACAAGAAACTGTGTGCTATATTATTATGGTGATGATCCCTTCTACTAAAACAGGTTTTGATAAAAGAAACATGTAGAGTATATATCTTGTAATTCATATATTTTTCTTTGAATTATTCAATAATTTGAATCAATATATATATTTTAAATACATCTGGTAGTGCATGCTGACTTTTATCTAAGAACATCTGATGACATTATAATCTTAAATTAAGAATATCTTGAAAATTTATCAGTAGGTAAGGTATGTTGCGTATGTCTTTAAAGTAATCATTTCGTAAGTTCTTGGGTCGATACAATGACCTTTTCAACAAATACAATTTTTCAATGAGTCAAATGCTGATTGAAATTTTTCATATGAATTGTTAGTCCATTATTTATACACTGAATTGACGGCGGATTTTTCCGTCATTCCCCGATCATGACAAGGAGCACATGGCGGGCGTGACCGGTCGGCAAGGGATGCTCACTCCTCCATGGCACCGGATCCCACCTCTGATGTTTTAGAGTGTTAGCTTTGCTCCATGTTGGCTCTGCCCCTAATCTGTATTGTTTTATGGATGTTTGGTCATGAATACTGTTCGTTATCTCCATATGTTTCATTGAAACAATAAACATATATAAGCAGAGCGAAAGTAAAGTGTTGTTTTCACGTCAATGAATGACTAAATTGAATGAATGTATTTATTTACAGCGCCTTTAAGCAGAGCAAAGGATCTATTTTGAAAGAATCTGTGGCGTACATGAAGGAATTAATGACGAAAAGACAGAATTTGCAGAAGTTGAAGGAAGACCAAAAGACCATGCATTCGAAATATCAGAAACTGCTCATCAGAATTTTCGTAAGGAGTCACATTTTCAAAATTTTAAAAATTTAAAAACAATATCAAATGCATTACAAAACAAGGTGGAGAAATAACATAAATTAAGGAAAATGATGATAATTAATACTATTTGATAAGTCAAGGCGTCTCTAAAGTTTAAAGAAAATTAGGGGGATTTATTTGTTAGTTGCTTCTTATTAATAGTTCTGCTACAAAATGTATTCAAGGCAAGACCATTATTTCCGTTTGTACATTGGCATTTCATTGTATGTTGTTTTTTTTTAAATCAGAGGTATACATGAGACATCCAATTATGTGATTTATTTCGTTTTTTTTTCATTCGTGGCATTGCTCAGTTTTTATGACAACACTCGATTTTTCTACCTTTTCTCTGAAAGTGCTAAATCCTTCTGAAAAAATATGATATATAGCAGAGGGAAATGCACATTGTGAATTACTGGGTCCCAGTCCATCATAGAAAATCTCAGCTAAAACAATTAAAATCAACGCATTCTTTGCAAATAAATCTTCTTTACTGGTCAAAATGAAACAGTAAAGCTGTTGGCATTATTACGTTTAATTTACCTTCTAGAACAACAAATTTTATAAAATAAATTGCCAAAGGGACAGATATCGATGAACTTGTGCTAAGGTTGTTCTCTTAAAGCCATTTAGTGAAAAAACTTAAATTGTTAAAAATGTTCTTTTCTACACCTACATTTGCCTTCAAATCACATTCAGATTTAATCAATAAATAACATTAATTCCTGTACATATGACTTGATAAATCCCGATGAACCTCAAATTAAGACACTAAAATACTGCCACATCTGTTTCATATTAGGGGTATACACTAAAAATAAGAAGTCCAACTAACATCTAAATTTATTACACACGAAATAACTTCAGTTTGAACATAGTCAATTCACCTGTACAAGGTGTATGTGTTGTTCCAACGTATTCGCTACTTACGAGCATGCTCTGCGTGCCATAGATATTTAGGCCAAGAGACTTTTTTTCTGTGACATCAGAATACATTTACATGACAAAAGAGACACCAATGTGACTAAAAAACGAACAATCATCTAAAAGAGAGTTCCATCATGGGTTACTACAAAAGACTTCATTTACAGCAAAAAAGGCAAGATTTTGAAATCGCACTTGGACTAACTAATTCACTAAATAGGTAATTGGGGGAAACAGATGATTAAACAAGAAATTCTACTGCATATTAATATTTCTTAAAATGCACAATGTTCACTAAGGATGATTTTTCATGAAATAAGCTTTGAATTTACCGGAAGACAATAAGTTCAAAATTTACAACGTGACATGCTGAATTTATTTAATTGAGATAGGTTAAATAGAGTATGTCAAAATTAATATTAAATTATACTTTCTTTCAGCAACTGGAATTAAAGTTGAAACTGTATCATAGTTTGTCAGAAGAGTTCGACTACTCTAGGGCCAAAAGGAGGAAAAAGCCAAAGAAACGTTTAACCGAAATTAATGCCTTTGTAGAGGATCTTGTTAAGCAAGGCATGCCGAAAGTTCTTGAGCAAACACCAAATAACTCAACACCTTTTTTGCAAAAGAGCCAAAGACGGCGCTTGGCTGCCCAATAGCAAACAGAAGTTCCTGCCACCTTCTAAGCTAATCTTACAGCAGCATTTCAAGAATAAAACTGCTGAAGAAGGACATTCTTATGCACGAAGTGATAACAGTAAATCTAATGATGAATTTACTGACCACGTTGATCAACCGGAAAAGCAGAAAAAAGAACAAACTGCCCCTTTATCTCATTCAGCTGTTCAGATCACAGAAATATCAAAAGAGCGAAATGATACAACTTCATTTCCGTACGACAAAGCAGATTCTGGTTTTAAGGACGAAGAAGGAGTTTTGGAATTATCGACAGAACAGTGCGACATTTTGCTTGGTCTGTTTGAGAACAATCAGAACAACAATGAACTTATATTAAATACGAATTTCTCGCCAAATCCAGACGATGCCACCGCAAGCCAAGGGTGTTTTTCGCCGGTAACGTCTACCTGCAACATGTTGGAAAGATTGCTGAGAAGGCAGAACTCAACTTCCGTGTGCAGCTCTGGATCGAGTGGATTGGAGGATTCAACCGAAAGCGTGACGGGCTTACGTTGAAATGTTTCTATAATGAAACGTGCCGAACAAAGCGAGCTTTAAAAGAAGTCTTTGTAATATTTCTGTATTCTTCTTTGGAAAATGAACAAAACAAAGGAAAAAATATTAGTGGCATATTTCTGCCATCTATAAGCAAGTTTAATCATGTTAACATGCAAACATAAGTATGTAAAAATGCCACTTGTTTATATAACATACAAGATACTTATTTTGACATGCAAATAACCAATTTCTTTAGATTATCTAATTTTAATCTTTAAGGTTACTTACTAACGTCTTGAATATTACATCATATTTGTATTGTTTATTGGACTGAGCTTGAATCTTATTTGTTTTTCTCCATATATTTCATATAAACAAAATGCACAAGATTATCTTGACATGCAACTTGTGTCAAAATACAAGATGATTATGTGAATATATGAATACAACTAATTCATGTCAAGATGATAATGTTAACATGAAGCTAATTATAACAAATTGCGATATATAAATGTTGACAAGTAACTTATTAGACCGCTCGGCTATCTAGGCAAGTTAAAAACTTGCTTTCGATGTAGATGCAATTCTCACAGCGCTGCCCTCTACACGGTCACTGAGAATAGAAGTGAGATACAGTTATTTGGGCATAAGTTTTTAGAGGAACGTTACGAATACATGTTGTAATTAAATTAATTTTATTTATAAAGCACAATTTACAACAACTCTTAAACTAATATAACTGCCCTAAGGTAACAAATATTAATATAGAAAGCACAAAGAAATTCACTTTTATAAGGATACCCACTCCCACCCCCCCCCCCCACCCCCCAGACCGGGATTGAACTCTCGACCAAAGGATTCTGTCTCCTAGCAGTACAGGAACCGCGCCTTAGACCGCTCGGCTATCTAGGCAAGTCAAAAACTTGCTTTAGATGCAGATGGAATTCTCACAACGCTGCCCTACACTACACGGTCATTGAGAATAGAAGTGAGATCAGTTATTTGGATTTTAGAGGATCGTTACCAATACATGTTGTAACAAAATTAATTTTACTTATAAAGCATAATTTACAACAACACTTAGACTACTATAACTGTCCTAAGTGAAGAAATATTGATATAGACAGCACAAAGAAATTCACTTTTATAAGGGTATAAGATTTGTTGTAAATTGTGCTTTATAAATCCAAATGGTTATTTTCATGATACACGTCTAGACTTACAATACCTTGCTTATCCCAGGTAATTGGAGGAGTAAACACACTCCTGTCTTTGATTCCGACTGAAAACTTGAGAACAAAAGAAACTCAGAGTGGCCCTTAACTTCTGTAAACATCACGTGATTTAAAAAAAACTTTAAAACAGGCATAATGTCATCCTCCATGTTAACATTTTTATGGAAAGTTATAAGAAATTTATTGTCTTTTAGTTGATTTTATTTTCTAATGCTAACAATGAATATTGTCGTAGACAGTCCAAAAAACTCATAAAATATATCATAAAGAACATGAAGAATGGAGGTATAGAAGGCGAGGACAATCCCCCGCTCTGAGAAAAGACATTTCTCAATTCTAAAAGTTATATTTTTCAAAATTATACTGTTCATATCATATTTTACACATTTGATTCTGTATTTCTTTGTTTTAATATTTTATTAATAATTTATTTTTCACTCATGTTTTTAAGATATGTGAAAACAAAAAAGAAAAAGCTTCTCGTATGGTTCGAACTCTATCCAAAGCGCATGGTTTGCTCCAAGACCGACCGCTTTAACCACTACGTTACGAAGTATATGCATTATCGATGTCTGTCAGTGTGATTTAAATGAACGGGTTTGTTGAAGCTTGCAATTTTTCAGAAATTTTCGATTTTCATATAGAATGGGTTCAGATTCCATTTTTTGGACGAATGAAATAGATTTCGCATTTACGTTTCCAACATGTAAGCGTTAACGAAGAATGGAGACTTGACCCATTCATGTTCAAAATTCATTTTTTATAGCTCTAGTATCTAGTAAACCCATTTTCCACTAAATATGCTTAACTGTCAACTTAAAAGTAAAGATTATCCAATAATAAGTCGCTCAGTAAAATAAATTGTTAAAATGTTTTAAAGATGACATTACTGAGAACATGATTTTAGAAAAATATAACTTTTCTGTGAATTTTGAAAATTGAGAAACATTTTTTCTCATAGCGAGCGATTGTCTAAGCCTTATACGTCCTCTTTCTTTACATCATTGACATTTATATAACTTTTAACGTGAGTGCAGCTGTAACCGTTTCAAAAAAATACAAATTGCTGTTATTATATATTTACCGTTTGATAAATGTGCATCTATTGGAATACAATTCTCAGTGGTGATGATGTATATGTCATGTTTATCAGTTTTAGATTTATAAATTTGTATTGTTATCTCTTTCGGTTGCTCTCCTAGATATGATTGTCCAAGAAAACTGGCATTCTCTAAAACCAAGGAATGAAACATATGAAGATAACGAACAGTATTTAAGACCAAAAGAAAGATATACTCTAATAGTATTCCTACACAATGACACACTTTAAAGAAATGTCAATTTAGTTTGAAGTATAAAGTTAATGAGAAAGAACATTTTAAAATGTAAGAAAAACGTACCCTGTCAGCAACACCACTTTTATATTCTACCTGGAAGGTATCTTTGGTAGCTTCGTACTGTCTTGACGGACAGCACTGCCCAGAAAGAATTCTATTTTAATCTTTGTTTTCCGAAATGTGTTTGGGAAATGTTCTAGCTTGAATAAGTAAACGCCATTATCGTGGCCATAGCTATTCCACAGTGAATGAAAACCTTATGTTAATTGTGTATTGTACGTAGAGGTCACCCATTCGAAAGCTAAAACGCTTGCATTCACTTGACTGGAATTTTCACCCGATACAATGTAAATATTACCAATTACATATAAATATATTTTTTTAAACATGTGAACTCTAGCTAGGATTTACTTTGCATCTTTCTATTTTTAGAATAGTTTTTTTAATATCTATTGATACATTTCATTGAAAAGTTTGGAGAGTTTAAAACTCTTCATAGGCTGTTTAATTTGTCACTTCCTTGTGATAACTTATATTATTTAAATGTCATTCAGCAAATAAAATTTAATTATTTTCCCAGTCTATTTATTTACTAGTATTCATTTTTTGATTTTAACTTTACCTAAACATAGATATTGAATAATAATATGAAAAGTATTATATATCAGGAATTATCAAAAATTGAAGACAAAATTGTTCAATTTGGTCAACTTATATGTTTTCCATAAAGAATGTGGAGATAACGAACAGTATTCAATATCAAAGTCCATACAACGGTACAAAATAAGAGCAGAGCAAACACACACAAATAGTATTCAATTATCAAAAGTCAATAAAACGATACAAAAAAGGAGCAGAGCAAACCCGGACCTCCAAAACATCAGAGATGGGATCAGTCGCACTGGAGGAGTGAGCATCCCCTGCTCACCAGTCATACCCGCTGTGTGTTCCTTGCCATGATCAAGAAATAACGGAAAAAATCCGTCGTCAATTCAGTGTATAAATAATGGACTAACAATTAGTATGAAAACGTCAGTCAGCATTTGACTCAATGATGAATTGTATTTGCTGACAAGGTGATTGTATCGACCATAGAACTTACACAATGGTGACTTTGAACAAGACTGCTATATATCTAAATGTCGAGTTGAAGGCCAAAGGAAGTGTTTTCTTTGTTTGAAGCACCAAGGTATAAGATGTTGGACATATTCTGCTTCATAGAAATACAAAATAGATCTGATAATAACGGGTGTCCATGGGATTTTTAATAGATTGTTAGAAGACGTGGTCTCCAACAATCACATAGATATTGTCAATCAGAAACTCAAGCATCTTTTTTTTGTCAACTTCAGAGTACTTATGTCTACAATCAGAATGTTTTTAACAAAATAATTTTGCAGATGACCAATGACCAAGTAAGTAAATTCTCGAGTTCTATTTCTTTTTGAAAAAGTAGCTCTATGATATCAAAAAGCCTGGACATTAATTTATCGTGTGGAATGGTTGTGTGAAAAGTCGTATGATTTTAAGCTCTTGATTTTGGTAAAACCCTGTGATTTCAAATTGTCCGAATAGAACAGATAGAAGCAACAATTCAATTCTTTTCTGTTGCATTAAAAAAATCTTTTT